ATCAGGATCTGCTGTAAGCGTGTCAACTGACATCACTGTTTTCTCAAACCGCAGAATGATCTCTGCAACAGCCTCCTGCAGGAATCAACAAGGAGTATACTGTAGAAGGGTATTAAACAGGTAAGAAAAATAAAACAGTTCATAACAATTTGGAAAACTAACCTGAAAATCCTCCTCAGAGGGTTTGTAGGTCAATGCATTTGTGTCCAGCAACAGCTCAGAGATGAACATCGGTTGGACACGGGAAGTTTCTGACTTGACAGACTAAAAAGAGACACACACCCCAACCAAAACTGAACACTGGTCTGCGTCTCTTTGAAAACTCACATTGTGTGGATATAGTAATTACTGTGGTTCCACTGTTAATAACTGAAACAGTACCTTACCTTCTTATCCGTCTCTTCTTCAGCACAATCAGTGGTAGCCTCAGAGTGCTGGCTCCAGCTCTGAATGGTGGCATGGCTGGCCGTTTGACGTACCTGCTCCTGGAACACAGCCAGTAGTTTGGCCACTGCGGTCACCACCAAGGTGTGCAAGGTGTTGACGACCAAATAGTCAACAAGACGGATGAAGCTGGGCAGTGACACAAAGAGGGGTCGGACTGGGTTAATGTGTTAGATGTGCCTAATAAATGATGTCAAAGGTCTTTTTCACAGCAGGCATTTTGACTTGTGATAGTACTGCAGGAGAACAGGTGTTACTAATAACATTAACAATGGCTCTTTTCTTTTCACGTACCACAACAAGCCATGACAGTGGAAGTCAGCCTTCATTAATTTCATTCACATCTGAGTTTTTCAACTGTGACATGTAAACTGTCTTCTGTGATTTAAAACAACGCAGGTACGTCTAGTTCACAGATGGAGACAGAAAGCAAACAGATTTAAAGGGAAACAAATGCAAGAAAATTACCTACCACATGAGTCGGCTGGAGTGAAAGTTCTTGTTGATCTGCGCAAGAACCGTCTTTTTATCATCTGTGACAAACAGAGAGGACTATCAGCTTTTTAACATTGTGGTCTATGTACGTCCGTTCCAGTGTCCCCATATGGTCAGTGTGTATGCACCTGGGTTATCAGATTCGATTTCTGACAAGTAGTTGCGACAGGCACAAACTGTCACCTCCTTTACCAGATCCTGAAACTTCTCCAAGTCAGTCAGTACCTGACAGTAATGAACAAAGGAGGGCAATGAGTGTGAGGAGGCACACAAAGACAAACACACTTCAAACATCTGGACCAATTTTTGTGTAAATGTACAATTGTACCTCTTGCAGTTGTTTGAACTGGATGTTCTGGAACTCCTGTAGTGTGTAGGTGTGGTCTCTCTCCATGTGACACAAGCCTGTGTCACTGATTTGGTAACACATTTTCCTGATGTCTATCAGCGCAGGGCTTAGCGACTGTAGGACAGATACAAATGTTAGTAACAATATAATATCCACACTACCCACATTAATGTAAAGCTTTAAACCTCAAAGATGAATACATATTTACATTCTATGGTATCCCATATTTAAGATTATTAAGACCCCAATTTATGCACACAGTCACATACCTGACTGACAATAAACAAATGTTTTTGCAGAGATTGCCTGGCCAAATTAGTCTTCCTGGCACGAACACCGGTGCGCCAGAAGTAGAAAGGTTTCCACATTTTGAAGCGGGTAAAGAATGGTATGCGAATCAGCTTGCAGTGGTAGTTATACTCCTCTTCCCAGCGCTCGAGGGTCACAAAGTCAGACTCCCCCTCACACACTGCTAACACACCTTCAGGACTCATCATCAAATAGTCATCCTTACTGTACTCATAAATTTGAACTTCGCCATGAGGCTCCAAGTGTCCACAACTCTTAATGGAAAAGGGCCGTCTGGGGAGACTAGGGGTTGACACCGTATTCTGGGACAAATGAGAAGTGGTGGAAAGACACAAGTAAAAATTTGTTTCCTGCTGCAAGTAGCTCATTTAAAGGCAATAAACAATGAACTGGGGATTTAACAGGAATTTGTCAACCCTTTGAAGAGAAGAGCCAGATTTTCCCAAGACCATGTTGACATTACACTACATTTTTTCGCGTTATTTAGACTGCGAGGTGAGGAGGTAGACTGGAAGCTTGATACATTTGCCTTAGTTTTACTGGTAGTCTTGGGTTTTAGATTTATGAAATCATTTCATCGTAGATACTTTTGAGGAACATGTCCATCATGCACTGTGGACATCGTTAAGGCAATGTTAATCCTCTTCTTAAACATGTCTGCCACTGACCGTGGTTGTGGATTTCAAAGGAGGGAGCTGGACAGGCCATTGTTTACGGCGCCTGTTTGGCTGCTCGGCCTGTTGAGATGGAGGTGATGGCGTGTACCAGCCTGGAAAAATCATTCGCTCGCGGGCCTGTAACTGCTGGAGACTGGGTTCTTTCCGTTTTACACGTCTCCTCAGCACAGCCTAGATTAGGGGAAGACATTAACAACTACTACTAATAATACTAATACATTTATTTTACATTAGCACATACTAAGCACTTTAAAAGGGCACTTCACATGGTAACAAAAAAAGACAATAACAAAAGACCCATATCTACATACTAAGCCACGAATATTTTATAGTATATTATGGGAAGTACTAAATTGGGTGTACCGTAGATGGTACTTCATATTGTCCCAGTGTGATGTCATTTTGCCATGTCTCACCTGTGGGTCCTGGACATGGACTGGAGGCCTCGGTAGGGTGGTGGAGCTCTGTAGCTCAGGGAGCTTGTGCAGCCGGTCTGGGACAGTATGGCAAGTGGAATTTAAATGTACTAACGTTATTGACATTTAATTCAAAGAGTCCACTTAATACAGCATGACACGTGAGAATGAAATAACCCTATATGAGCTAGGCCTACCTCTGAACTCATTGTCCCTGCTTTGGCCCGAGCGGCTCGTCGGAGAGGCCCTCGGAGATGCAGAGGCCCTCGGAGATGCAGAGGCCACGGTCTGCATCCTCACAGGCTCTGGGGCAGCGAGCGGTAACGTTTTCTTGTTGTTGTTTTGTTTGTTTTGTTTGTTTTTTGCTAACGTTAGTAAAGTAGTAACGTCAGCTACAAGTCATTTTATCAGACAAAGTGAGTTAGCAAAGTAAAGACACATTGTATGACGTTAATAACCCTTGGTACCCTTTTGTAACGACAGAACATTAGCTTGTATAAAAAAATACACCGAGCTAAATTACAGTGCGCAATATTACACAAAGGGTGGACATTATCTAACGCTATTGTTAAAGTTAACAAAGTTCGTTTGAAACAACGTAACGTTAAACATTAAGTTAGCAAACTTTTTTTAACTTGTTTATTATGTATGAACTTCGTTGTATGAATAAGCATCGTCTTCGAGATGTATTAAAACATGCCTACCGTATCAAATATTCAGCCCCGAAATGTTTCTGTCTTTGAACAAAGTTACGTTACCTAACGTTAACTTATATTGATTTATGGAACTAACGTTATAACGTCGATGCACCGGTTGCTAACCCAGACCTGACGTTTACGGTTTCCAAGCAACAAAATCCTTTCCCGGCATGCAACGCAGCCAAACAAAGGCACGTTGCTGGGTTTGTGTTTCAGCCACTGACAGTAAATACGGTTTTACCCATCCAGTTTGACAAATGCAAAGGAGAACACATTCAAGACCCGAAGCATTTCATTCCCATTAAACCCCATACTTACACATACAATAAAGACTAGGGTGTACTGTAAAGGTGTTGTATAACAAAGTTTATTTTACATACTAGACAAAAGACATTATTCCATCCTTACAAATACAATTCTCCAAAAAAACTTTGGTATAACATTAGTGTATAAAATTAGAACATGTTTGAATCACCAGAGCAATGAAAACACCAATGTGCTCTTATGCCTTTGGACAAAATGTTTCCATCATATTAACAAAAACAGCAACGTGTTCTAAACACACATAGCCATATCGTTTCTCCAATAGCACAGTGACAGTTACACAGTCTCTGGATCAACCATGGCTGTTTTCCTTCGCTGTGACGCAAACATACTCAGCTGTTAAAAAAAACACAATAGCACAACAGATAAAATAACGTCAGTATTGAATCAGATTGATCACCATGTCACCATATTTCTGCACACACATACAGTAATTACCCATACCTGTTGTGTAGCAGTAGCTGCCTTTTGTTCAGCTTGTGTCAGCCGTCTCTGGAGACGACTCGTCTTCTCTTGATATTCTGCTAGCTGCCTCTCATACTACGCATACACACACACACACAATTAAGTTTACATTTTGTCTCACTGTCAATTATCACTCTCCATGACCACAGACATGCTTTTCTGACTGTTGTTAGTAGATGTGGGCTCTGCATTTATAAATACATTCTCTGAATCTAAGACATGGCCAGCTTCCATCATTCTCATCTCCATTATTTCACCCTGTACGCAAATAAAATATTATTATTTCATATTTATGCAGTAAATGTAAGCTAAACAGGTCGCAAATATGTTCTTGAAGTCAATAGGATGGGCTGCATTAAGTTAACCTTTTCCCAACTGTCTTTGTCATGCACCCTGACGCTGCTTGGAACTTCTGACTCTGATTTTGCAGCTTTAGTATAATGGCTCCTGCTTCTTGTCTTTTTGTAGCTGCTTGTCTGAGCACACTGTTACAAAGGAGGCCTGGCATTTGCAGAGGCTAACAGCAACTGATCAGGCCTGAACAGCAAAGGGCAGCTCCTCCACTCAGGAAGAAGTCTCCTACAGTGCAGGACAAACATCTCACATATCCTCTTATAAGGCCAGAATTTTCCAAAGATTACTCACTGTGTCATCTCCCTTTCACACTAAACTCTCTTATACTGGAAATTAAGCGGCAGGGTTGTGTGTGTGTGTGTGTGTGTGTGTGTGTGACACAAACCTCAGCAACAGTATTATGGTCTGTTTCAAGCTGCAGCTCCAGCTCGTGTGATCGCTGCTTCTGCCGATTCAGCTCTGTCCTGAAATAGATATTACAAAAAAATAAGTACATTTTAAAAAAGCTCAGCCACTTCTCACAGAGACAAAAACATTTATAAAGCTTTATTTTCAGGTGTTTCAACATGTTCAATATTTCCAACAGATCTCAGCGTAGTACAGCTGTCGCTGACGGCAAAACAACTTCAAGTGGTAAGTCAATTTTTGTTTGTCTCAAACGTTATCAAAACCTTCGGTGCTGCGCCTTAGCTGTTGCTTAGTCTTTAATCCAGCGTTTGTGATAAAACTGATACAATAAAAAAAAAAAACAGCCCTTAGGCAGTATCAGAAGTATCAGAAAATGATTTTTTTTTTCTTATTTCATAAAAACACAGTTCGTATTAGACTTAAAAGAGTATTGCATTAAATATTAATTAATGTATTTCATCTTTTTTTTTAAACTATCATATTGGGCATCAGAACATTGTTGTTTTAACCATCTGTCAGTTACAGAAACTGCTTGCTCTTTTACATAATGCTTCACATTCATCTGCACAATGACAAATAAGGTCACACTGACATATGCTGTTAGATTACTTTAAGGATTTAAACTGGCAACATTTTAGTCGCGAAACACAGTTCAATGTTATATTATGTTATGCTATTTTATGTCTACAATCACCAGTTCTTACTTGAGGCCTGTGATTTTAGTCTCAAATGACTGAATCAGGTTCTTGGCCTCTTCTTTCCAGCGCTGGGTACTTTTCTGTTGTGCTGTGAGGAGGCGCGTCAGATCAGCACTGGAGCTTCGGCTGCATTCCTCCAGCTCCCGCAGCCGTGCGTCCAGTCCCTGCTCCCTCAGGCTGTACTCCTGCTCCATCTGTGACACCTGGGAAGGGGGCGGCAGAGTAAGGGGTTGGGTCAAGTGGGAACCTTTTTGGCTGGCAAATAAAGCCAACACGGACTAAAACAAAAACTGCAGTTTTTCAAACAGCCGCTTGAGGCTGGCTACAGAAGTGAGTCAATCTCCATAACAAGGCCCCCATATTAAATATATACAGCAGAAATAAACATGTTTACAGCCTGATACAAAAAGCGGTTTTGGTCTGTACGGGGGTTGAATTTTTATATAACTCACCCATATAAATTAGATTATATAAGGCTTAAAGTTACGCATAATGAAGGGCATGGAGGCATTGAGTAACGAGCTGTCACAGGTGGCAGTTTTCAGCAACCAGTCGTCAATCAGCCCACCTCAGCTCCACCCACGCTCCACATCTCTGCCCATTTTTGGATTAGCTGAGGATTTCCCACGCCCGGGAAATTCCGGCCGTGCCCCTGCGTTTACAGTTAGTCCGTCAACCTGCCTCGCTTCACTTGCCTCGCATCTTGGCCTTGGGGGAATCCCCCGCCGGCCCCATCCTAAGTGTCGTTCCAATTGTCTGAAAAACTGAAGTGAAGCTTGCCCACCGATGACGCCTCGGAGCGCGCGCTGCAGGGAGCGCAGTGAACAAACGATGGTCACTTCCGAGGTGGATTTATCAGCCCACATGCAGTTGCAGTTTTACAGGTGCATCTGGCGCGCTCATCACACCCCCCCGCGCAGACGCTCCAGTTGTGACTACTGACCTCGCAAGGCCAAGGCTGTCGTTCTTCATTTAAATCGCCCTCCGCATCACTCCCCCGGCCCAGCTTATCCCTCCGCGCTCCAAGCTGGCTCCCGTGGCGACGTATGCTGTTACGTCATACCAAGGGCTGAGGGTAAGTGAACGAGGGGAAGTGGAACTACTAATGAAACGCAGCCTTGAGACAGGACTGCCAAGATGGCGACACAGCCGACCACACTGAGCTTCACAACGGCTCATCGGAAACTTATGGGTGACGTCGTTATACAGCCTATGGGTTGGGTGCATAAAGTCAACCTACTTGTCCAAAATTCATTTCAGTAGATGATTCACATGACCTTCCTTGTTGGAACTAATTATAATGAAAGCTGTTATCACTCGACAGTATTAGGACTTTATTGTGATGTCTGTCTTTCTGTTTTCAACTTCTGCCAACTATACAATCACCTTTCTAAATATTTCTTTCAGTAAAAGATTTCCAACTGTTAGTCCAAATGGTTGTTTGGCAAACACTTCAGATCAGCAGGCTGAACAAATCCATTTTTTCTTTCCCTACTGCTTTCATCTTCTCCCCCACTCTTCTTAAAGAGGCACTCCGCTGATTTTACACTTGAATATTAGTTTACTCATCGTGAGCACTACTGCTAAGCCTGAAAAAAAAAAACTGTTGTACAATGTTGTCTTTGGCTTTCTAGACTCTGAGAAAATAAACCTTACAGTGTCATTAGGGTCATCTCAGCTTGGGCTTGGAGACAGCAATTGTATACCAGAAAGGGTGAGTTACAAACTGAAGGTGTGGACTTTTGAAAGATGTGGGTATCTGCCACGTACAGAAGGTCTGACAAAAGTTCTAAAAGTCACTGAGTTGCATTATTAGAATTTTAGGATCTAGGGGATTTAGCCATACTCTAAGGACTAAGTGTATCTTTGCTGCATCTCTTGGTCGACCAGGTTGGTCCAAACTGACATATCCTAACAGACTACTGGACAAACTGAGAGATAAAACTTTGTACTGTCAGGATACTGACTGATTAGTTTTAATTAGTCTCCCTTCTTCATCCATCATTCTAACCTATTGCGCTGCAGAGTCACATCCTTCCCTTTCTTTATTTACTACCAAAATCCATCTTCACCCTTGTTCACAAGAACTATCAGGAAAGACAAGTTTAAAGTGTACCTATTCTTTTCATTTCCTCCCTTTTTTATCGATCATTAAGTGCAGAGACCTGTTGTTTGGCCTTCTTTTGGACCAACATGGTGGACTTGCGCAGCTCATCCATCTCCCTGTGCAGCTGCAGGTTCTCCTGTTGCAGCTGGAGCCGCTCCTCGCTGACGCTGACACAGTCGTCCCGGGCTGAAGCCAGAGAGCCCTGCAGCCGTCGCACTTCCTCCTGGCACCGTGACAGCTCCTCACTGTAGCTACAAATAGACGGATGGATCAAAAAAGGAAGGGGTGAGACA